AATCTCTCAATTTTTCTTAGTTTTTCTACATCTAATGCTCTTATTAAAAAATAGTATTTAAGAAAAACAATAGTAAAAAATATTTAAGAAAAAATATATAATTTTATATATTAATAATAAATAATTAATTTAATGTTTTTTTAAATGAATGACAATTAATTAAGTAAATTTTATATTTAAGAATAGAGGGCGTACCATATGTGCCTTTTCTATCCCCGCTTTGCATCAAAGGTGTCTTTTTCAGCCAGCTGTGACTCCGTGACCGACAATTATAAAAGAAGAAGCTATCGGCGAGCATGAACAAGATAATTGAACCAAGAAAAAGACAAACTTTTGAAGGGAAAAAATTTTTAAAAAGAAAAATTTAGATAGTTTTGTTTTATGTGTTGTCGTATTTGTGTTTGCTTTTTCCCCACCCAGGGTGTGCTTGTCTTGATCTCTACCAAAAAAAGAAAAAAAAAATTTAGGTGTTGATTGGATTGAAATTAATGCTTAAGCCTTTAACTTAGTCATTAAATTAAATTTAAAGTTTAAAATAAATTAAAAATATCACTAATAAGAATTTGTGACAGAAATACAGAGTAGGTGATGTTATAAAAAAAATACCTCATAATTTAATTGTAAAATAAATACCTAATTTTTTAATATAAAAATACCTCTAAAACCGGCTTTTATTTTTTTTTAAAATACCAAGAAAAAGGCCTGATGTACTTAAATAACACTAAAAATATATTTTAACAAAGTATGATTTCAGAATTCAGATCAAAACATGGACAAAGTACGTATTTCGTTTCTAGTTCAACGTTTCAAAAAAAAAAAAAAAGAAGTCTCTAGTTCACGCCGTAACTTCTATGTTCCCTCGGTGATTTGATTTACAATTTTAATTTAATTGTCAATATAAAATATGATGTTTTGAAAAAAAAATTTTTAAAAACGATAGTTGAATTTTCAAAACCTAGATTCGAAAATTTTCAAATCAGTTATAATGACTAAATCAGAAGTTTAAAATGTCGGTAAATTTAGAACGTTGCCATTTACTTTTTTTTCAAAAAATACCAAGTTATCCTCACCAGTTGGTTGGCTATCTGAGCTCCGACTGGTGCCAGAACCCTAACGGGTCACCATCAGTTTTTATTTGCCTTTTTTAAGACACTAGGTTTAATTATTAAAAAACAGTATTATTTTTAAGGGAGAATCCCAGTTAAATCCAGCCGAAATACCTAAATTCAGATTTAGATCTCCACTTTTAGCAAATTCCTAATTAGGCCATGAGACCTAATTAGGGATTTCTAAATGTTGTTAAATAACCAGAATGCCCTTTTTCAATTAAAAAGAAAATTTGATTAATATACCTCTCCCAAGTAATTCTTCATCTCTTATGATTTTTTTTAGACCAAAAAACATATAAGTAATTTTACAATGTTTGAAATTTGTATATATAACTTACACTATTAAAAATATTTTAATAAAACATGTTAAATTACAAATATAAGTAAAATTATAAATATAACTAAAGTTTAAATAAATTTTTTTTTTCAGTTTTTATAATTTATGTTAGTTTTATTTATTTAAACAATATTGGATCCAACTGAAAACGTAAATGATTACGATTTAATATTAAATTTTTATTATAATTAAAATATTTTAATATTTTAAAATAAATATTTACAACCTAAAAAAAATTATTTAAAGATTACTTATATTATAATTTGAAATGTTTTATGAAAATATTTTGAAGATTTTAGTTATATTACAAAATTTCAAACACTAAAAAATTATTTATATTTTTTTGTCTAAATATTAATAATAAGAGATGATGAACCGCTTTAGCGGGATAAAATAATCAATTTTCATTTTTAACTAAAGAGGGGCATTATAGTTATTAACAATATTCAGCAATTCCTAATTAGGTTTTATGTCCTGATTAAAAATTTGTTAAAAGTGTAGGCCTCAATTTAAATTTAAGTATTTCAGTAAGATTTAATTAGGATTTTCCCTATTTTTAAAAGTATTATAGTTTTCTCGGTATTAAATATATAAACAATCCATTTTATCAGCACATGGAACAAGCATCCTCATCATAGAAGACCGAGCTAGTTAATGCAACATATACATACAAAGCAATGCATAATATTGTACATAAACAAGAGGATTCAAACTGACATATATAGCCGCGTTTGACATGAAATTACACTTTAGAAAACAAAGGAGGAAATCTGTAACATCCTTATTTTATCTAGTATTAATTAAATTATAAAAATATATTTTAGTATTAAGTTAATTAAAAAAAAAGAGTTAGATATAGACAAATTATTATTATTATTATTTTAATAATGTTTTTGTGTGTGATTGTGTGTGTGTGGATGATATTCTAGAAAATTAAACCATGGTATAGAAGTCCCACATCGACTAATCTTTAGAGTGAAGGAGTTTGAGGAGCCTATATATAGGAGAGATAAGTGGAGCTTGAAGTGAGTAAATAATTTTCGCATATATCTGAGTAGTTTCAAAAAAGTGCTAGTTTTGAGTTTATTAACCGTTGGATCGGATTGAAATTTGGTCAGCCCATTTGGCACATCCAAATAGTTAATTCCAACGGTTGGATCATCATTTTGATCTCTGAGTTACAAGTTATTAGGTACGTTTTTAACTTATATCTTTTGGATTTAACAAACAGAATCCTGAATAGTAAATTAGCAGTTTAAAGTTCATTCACCGTTAGATTGAGCTATAATTTGGAGGATAGTATCATGATAGATAGGGAATTAAATTCAACGGTTAGATTAAGGGTTTAACTTCTGTAGTGATAATAACCTAGTTCATACTAAGTCTATTTGTCAGTCCTTCAAAAATGGAATATAAGTTATAAATTTACAGTTTGTCTATTACATAAGGAAAAATTTAGGAATCGAGTCTAAATCATATATATATGTTCTCATTTGAAACCTTAGAAAAATGTCTTTTAGGCTAGAGTTCTGAGTAAAATTAAAGCTTTTAGAGGAGGAGTTAGAGGCTAAAATTTTGTGAGTAGCAAACTCTAATGCTATAGATATAATATTTAATTTTTTTGTAGATATAACTCTATTGTGGCATTTTCGAGGTTGGACTCTGGTGTAGTTGACTGTTAGCTAGGAGACCAGGTAACTAAATTTCTATCTTGCATGCTCTAATATGAAGTTGGTGAGCAGCTTTATAACTAATTCTATAAAAGTATATTACGTTTTGTATGAACTGTCTTGTGGGATGCTATTTTAAAAAGGATTGACATAGTTTGTATTGCAAGAAATTGGTGATCATGATTATGATGTGCTATTATGAAATTCTGTTGGTTATGCATATAAATGTGTCATTTTGAACCCTGTGCATCTATTTTGGGTGGGGAAAGGAGGTAATTGGAGTTATTGAGATTCATATACTTACCACGTGGTATTAGCCTCCATACGGAGCTCTATGGTTGGTTGCTACTATTGTCCCACTAGTTCTTCGAGGGACTGCGACACCCCACTAGTTCTTCGAGGGGGGACCCATGGTCCACCGAGTGCTCTGTGGTCTTTGGCCGGTCCACATCATTCGTGTGGTGAGCTTGTCAGAGTTGCCAGTCAAATGGAAAGAACTTAGCCATGGGTCCAGTTGGCGGAAATAGGAGGATATAAGGATGGATTTGGGTTCAGGAATTGCATATGATATGGGATATTCATTGATATTTATATCTTTTAAATAAATGACAAGTATGTTATCTCTTTTGAAATGTATCAATTGCATGAGATTGGTGGAAATATTGTCTTGTATGATTATTGTGAGTTTAATGTTTAAATAAATGTTTATCAACTATTATTAACTCTGTGTATCCCACCTGACACCTCATTAGCCCATGCTAGGGTGTGGGATAGGTAGGGATTTAGTTACTGAGACGTTGTCTCACTCCTGTTGCTTTACTATTTTCAGGAAAAAATACGTTAGCGGGACCTTCGGGGAAGACTCCTGAGGCTCAATAGCTGTAGCTGACAGTGTAGAGCTTCTGGACCTTATTTTTATGCAATCTTTTCGTATATTGCCACGCATCAGGACTGCATTCATTTGGGACTTATTTTACCTTCTTATATTTTTATGTCGTTTGACTTAATGAACGTATTATACTTTCTATCCTTGGTTATTTTTTGGACATTGGCTAGAGTGCTGGTAGTGGCCTGAGGCCCTTAGATTGCATGTGATTGAATTATTGTGGATCCACGATGTGATAATGGTAATTTTGCAAGTTTAATTATTGCTAGTATTGACTAATATAGTCAAATCTGAACTGTTATTATAATTTATCATTTAGAGGCGTATTGTTTTATAACCATGTTTGCCATGATTACAAATATAGGTTATTCTCTTCTAACCATGTAGCCTTAATTAAGGTCGAATGCTTTTCTATCATGGTTAGCCCCTTAGTGATGTGATTGTTCTTAAATAACCATGATAGGGTATTTTACTAGTTTTAGTTCTTTCTATCATGGTTAGTTCTGGTTAGTAAGTGATGGATGTTACATTTTGGTATCAGAGCCAGGGGTTTTTCCTTTTTGTGATTTTGAATTGCTTCCTGCATGCATATAGTGGCATATACGAAGAGTTGCATAAACTCCTGAAATGTCCTTAGTTTTCGTGTTTTCTTTCGTTTGGTTATATTCATGGGTTCCATCCTTAGGTAGGGAGAATCGCAAGACCACGAAGGACTGAACCCATAGTAGAGGAGGCTTCTTCTTCTCCGGAACAACTTCTTAATCAACCTAATGATCAACTACCTGAGCAACCTCAACAGCAGAGTAACGAGGTTCTACTGATGCATACGACAAGTACACTACAAAAAAATATGTTAATTCTAGCGGTTAAAGTGTTACATTTCTAGCGGTTTTAACCGCAACAAATCAAATTGTAGCGGTTAAGGAAACCGCTAGAAAAACAGGTGCAAGAAAAAATTTCTAGCGGTTATTGCAACCGCTACACATCATGGTCAAAACGAAAGAAAATTTCTAGCGGTTTCTAACCGCTAGAAAATATCTGAAGGAGAAACATTCCTAGCGGTTAAAAACCGCTAGAAAATGTTCCCGGAAAAAAATTTCTAGCGGTTTTATAACCGCTAGAAACCTGCTAAACGAAATCCATTTTGCCGGGAATTAAATAATTTCAGTAGCGCGCGAAAATTACTAGTGGTTATAGAACCGCTAAAAATGTTTGGGAAATTAAATTTTCCCGGCAATTGAATTTTAGGAATGGCGGGAAAAACATTTCTAGCGGTTTGAACCGCTAGAAATTTTGGCGCAAAATTTGAATTTGACGAAATATTTCTAGCGGTTCGAAACCGCTAGAAATTTTTACCGTGCCAGAAAAAAAATTTATGCTTTTTCATATTATAATTTTAAAAACCATTAAATAAATTATGTTGAAGAATTTTTGTTAATTTGTATAATTAGTTATATGTTACATTTTATATATTTAAATTTTGTAATAAAAAAATATGTAATTAAATTATGAATGTGTCAAAAGAAGTGAATTTAATTTAATAAGATAATTTAATTGAATATTTAATAAGATAGTTGAATTGAAGATGATATATTTTGTAATATTGAACCTATAGTATTAGGTTGATGAGTATTTGAATCAGTTGAGGAGGGCATGACAAGTGTGGAGAAGAAAAATCTGAAAGGAAAGGAGAAATAAATATGTTAGTAAATTTTAAATAAAAACAAATAAAAGATACAATGAATTATAAAATAAAATTCACTTACCATACAGTAAAGAGAAAAAAACCACCATATGAGATAGTAAGAAAAAAGAGAGAATTATGAAGAAGAATAGGAGAGGAAAAGAAAAGAGATGGAGTAAATGAATGTAGAGAAGATATGGTATTTATACAGATCAGCGACACATTTGTAGCGGTGTTTTTGTAGCGTTTTATTGCATTTTGTAGCTGTTATTCATTTTCTAGCGTATATATAAGCGCTAGTATTTTGTAGCGGTTATATTTGTAGCGGTTATTAACCGCTAGAAATTTAGTATTTTTTATTTTTTAAAATCTGAACGAATTTTAATTTACATATATGTATTTGTAGCGGTTAATAACCGCTACAAATTACAATTTCCTAAAAAAAATTTGTAGCGGTTATGTAACCGCTACAAATTAAAATTTTTTTATTTTTAAAAAACTGTACGAATTTTAATTTATACATATGTATTTATGGACGGAAAATTTTTTAAATAATTTATTTTGGATGCTGCTATTCTCCATCATCATCCGGCCTGAAAGGACACATTTTAAAAAAATTTGTTAAATTTATATTGTATTTGGAAAAAATTAGTAATTAGTAGTTAATTATTTAAATAATTTAAGAAAAGACGTGTACCTGATAAGTGGCAAATTATCATCTCCTTGAGGAAAGAAGTCTTCAAAATTCGAGGGTTGGAAGGGTTCACTGTCGTAAATAATGTCACCATCACCCATATCGTAAAGATCCCGTGGCTTGAGGTGAACGACCATATTCCAGTCTTTATGTTTCTCGTTCTCGACATAGTAAATTTGGTGTGCCTCAGAAGCAAGGATATATGGCTCATCATCTTCAGATGCCCCCGTATGAATAAGTCTAGAGAAATTGACTGAGGTGATGCCCAAATGGTCAGTAGCGAGTCCCCGTGAAGTTGTCGTATTTGCCCAGGAGCATTTGAACAGTGTCACGGTGAAAAGCTGGTAACTCAACTCAATAATGTCAATTAGCTTTCCATAGTAAGTGACGCCTCCAAAGCGCATATCGCCATCACTACTGCTAGCATAACATCTCGTTCCGAATGTCCCGCAAACTCCAGAGTTTTGTGTGAGCAATCCCTGATCACGTCTAACCGTACAGAACTTGAAGCCGTTGACATTGTACGCGGTAAACCTTCGTGCATGGTCTAACGGACCGAGAGAAAGAGCTTTGAATTCATCTGTGTATGGGCTGTTGTCATTACGTATTCGACGTGTAAACCAACTGGAAACTCTTTGTGGACTCTTTTATCAATGTCAGCAAACGCGCACGGCCCCGTAGCTGACGCCTGAGATAACTCCTAAACTCACTATAGTAAAGTGTAATTTGTTAGAAGAGTCAGTAAGAAACAAATATAAAGTGTAAAAGCTAGTGAGCTTATATGATATATATACTTACTGCATGAAGGGTTCAACTTGGCTGCAATTTATCAAAACGTGTCTGTGTGCCTGGAGTTTCTCTGTAGGAGTGAGTCTGAAGAATTCATATCCTCCAACTGGTTTCCCAACAAGAGGAAATAAAGTTGACGTGGAAGGACCAGGAGGAGAATCATCTACGCGACGCGGGCGGTTAAAAGATGTCTCCATGTCATCAAAGTACCTCGAACAGAAAGTTAGGACCTCATCTCCGGAATAACCTTCTGCTATTGACCCCTCAGGCCATGCCTTATTCCTAACATATGATTTTAATTTTCCCAAGTACCTGTAAGTTAAAATTGCATTAATAATTACGAGTAAATGAAAGAACAATGTGAAATTTAAAGAGGCGGGAATAAAAGATAATCTAGTACCTCTCTATAGGGTACATCCATCGATAGTGAACTGGGCCAGCAACCTTTGCTTCTCGAACAAGGTGGACAGTCAAGTGAACCATAACAGTAAAGAATGATGGAGGAAATATCATCTCCAAGTGACAAAGTGTAAGAATAATTTTATTTTGCAGCTGATCAAGCTCTTCCGCTACCAAGACCTTCGCACACAACTTCTTGAAAAATGAACATAATTCTACCAAAACCACCGATACATCAGAAGGAAGTGTGTTTTTCAAGGCCAATGGAAGTAACTGTTGCATAAGAACATGAGAGTCATGACTTTTCAACCCAGTAACCTTTCGAGCCTGCAGATCGATACACCTTGAGATGTTGCTAGAATATCCATCTGGTACTTTTATGTTCTTCAACGTCGAGAGGAAGATATCCTTGTTCTGCTTTGTCAAGGTGAATTTAGCTGGCTGAAACTTGTCGTTTTCATCAGGCCAAGCCTCTTCACGAATTCCCCAGGCCCGTAAATCTTTTCTAGCTGCGAGATGGTCTTTGGACTTTCCAGCTTCATTGAGCAACATATATAGCACATTATCGCACACATTTTTTTCAATGTGCATAACATCCAAACTGTGTCGTAGCAAATTAGATTCCCAATAAGGAAGAGTGAAAAATATGCTTCTCTTCCGCCATTGCATAGGTTGCGTATCAGATGTCCCACGAGATCGTCGTCCCAATTGTTCGGGATCCACACTCTTACCAAACTCGACATGAACATCTTCTACCTGCCGCAAAATATCCATACCAGACAAAGTAACAGGAGGATCTCTCTTCTCCTGTTTCCCATCAAAGCGAATCCGTTGCAATCTAAGTCTGTGCTTGGAATCAAGGAACCGTCGATGTCCTATGAAACACCACTTGCGACTGTGTGGAAGGCGACATGGCACAGAATCAAAATTGCACTCAGGACAGGCCAACCAGTATGCACATTCCAGCCAGACAAAGTTCCCAAACCGGGAAAATCACTTATTGTCCACATCAAGGCTGCACGGAGATTGAATAGTTGCTTGTCATGTGAGTCATATGCCTCAACACCATTCATCCATAGGTCGATCAATTCGTGTATCAACGGTTGCAGGTATACGTCAATATCATTTCCTGGTGCTTTCTTGCCAGGAATGATCATGGAAAGCAAAAAGGAGCTCTGCTTCATGCACATCCAAGGTGGTAGATTGTATGGAATTAACACCACCGGCCAGATACTGTAACTTGTGCTCATGTTTCCGAAGGGATTAAAACCATCGGTTGCCAATGCAAGACGTACATTTCTAGGATCATTGGCAAAGTCTGGAAATTTCGCATCAAACGCTTTCCACGCCTCCGAGTCTCGTGGGTGCCTTAACCTACCATCTAGGTTTTCCTCAGTCGCGTGCCACCTCATGTGCTGAGCCATTTTTGATGACATATACATTCTTGCAACCGTGGTTTCAAAGGAAAGTATCTAAGAAAATAATATATTAAAAATTTAAAATACCGAATATTTAAATACTAAATATTGACTCAATTAAGAAAATTGATGACATAATCAATTGTTTTAAGAATTTCAAATATCGAATATTTTTAGAGACGGAACAAGTAACACGCTGTAATAATTTGTACCTGAGAATTTTGGCCGGTTTCTTCTTTTGCTTCTTGCCCTTCCGTACCGACTTATAGCGTGACGTCTTGCATCTCGTACAAATCTCTTTGTTGGCATCATCTCCCCAGTATAGCATACAGTCGTTTGGGCATGCATCTATCTTCTTATAGTTCAAGCCAAGCTTGTTAATAATCTTTTTTGCTTCATAAAAAGATGGAGGGAATTCAGCTTGGGGGAAAGCATCTCCCAGTAATTCCAGCAACATAGACATCGCCTTATCAGTCATACCGCACAAGCATTTGATGTGATACAGCCTCACCAAGAATGACAACTTCGAATACTTTGTACACCCAGAATAAAGAGGCTTGTCAGCTTCGGTCATGAGGTCAAAAAATTCCCGAGCAGTTTCGTTTCTTAGAAACTCCGGTTGAGGTCCCTCTACTTCATCTTCGTTGGGATTCGAGCTTTCGTGAACACCAAAAGCATCACGCACAGCATCATTCACGGCATCGGCTTCATCCACTCGAACTCCCATCCGTGAAACTACTGGAACTGACTCAGCACCCATATCTAGCCGTTCCCCATGTAGTTGCCAAAATACGTACTCTCGCGGAAAAGGCTTAAAGATTAAATGTTCCCTAACAATATCTTTGGGATGCCACTTTTTGAAATTACATTTAGGACAGGGACACTGAATCTTACCATTTACGGCAGCATTGGCGAAAGCAAAATCCAAGAAATAGTTAGACCAGCCAAGTATTGCGGAGTCGACCGGTGCAAGTTGATCCACGACCTATCCATCACTAATAATGCTCAAATTTCGTGAAAATATGACA